GTGGCAGGGCCTTGCTTTAAAATCCCAAAGGCTTGCATTGTGATTCACCTATGGGAGCCAGAAAAAGACTGCAGACGGGCATCCCTATCTTCCACTGACACTTCTCGCATCAAGGGATCTTCTAGCTCACATGGCCCTACTGTCAGAGCAGCTTGCACAGCAGCTGGGCCTGTTGCAGAGCCTTCTCTTGTTCTGGAGGCCACTCAAGACTAGCAGCCTTTTGGGCCATTCAATAAATGGGCCAGAGTAGCACAACCAAATGAGGAATATGTTCTTCCAAAATCCAAAGAGTGGTACTAGGCCTTATGCCTATTGCTGCATTGTGGGAGAGGCCAGATGTAACAATTTATTCTTCACCTTAGAAGGGATATCTCAACATGTGCCACAGCACTAGACCTCTAGAAATTTCAGTGAGGTCGCTGAATTTTTGTTGGATATATTTCCCACTTCTGACACACAAATTTCTTACCAATAAGTCTAGACTAGTTGCTACTTATTGTTTACGAGGCCCTATCGGCGTAATGGTGTCAATGCCATGGGACCAGTGTGCTACCCTGTGGAAGCAAAGGCAATCAAGATTTCTGAAAACTAAATTATGGCATAGCCTGGGGAGTTGATACACCCCTGAGGTAGAACAGTGAAGGCATATTGCTGGCCTTACTGGCTAAAAACAAATTGCTTCTGGTGGGCCTTATGGGCAGGGATGGAGAAAAAGGCATTTGCCAGATCGATAGCTACATACCAGGTACCAGGGGATGTGTTAATTTGCTCAAGCAATGAAACCACATCTGCAGCTAGAGTCACCACGTGGTTAGGCTTACAATAATTCACTGTCATTCTCCAAAACCCATCTGTCTTCTGCACAGGCTACATAGGAAAGTCGAATGTGGCTGTGGTGGGAGCCACCACCCTTTCAACTCCTTGATGGTGGTCCTAACCTCTTCGTTCCCCCCGGGAATGTGTTATTGCTTTTGATTTACCATTTTTCTAGGTGAAGGCTCCTCTAATGACTTCTACTTGGCCTTTCTCACCATAATAGCCCTCACAACACAGGTCAGGGAACCAATGTGGGGTTTCTGACAGCTGCTAAGTATGTCTGTTCAAATAGTGCCTTCTGGAACTGGGGAAACAACCACAGGGTGGGCTGGGGACCCACTGGATCCGTAGTGAGATGGACTTAAACTAAAACTCCATTGATCACCAGATTTCCACAAGCCCCTACTCGGACTGGAGGGCCTGATTGATATGTTGGCTCTCCTGGAATTAGTGTCAAGTTCAGAGCCAATGTCCAGTAGTCCCTGAAAATCTGATTATTTCCTTTTCACTAATGCACAGTTACCCTAGTAAAAGGCTAACGGTCCTTTTGGGGAAGGCTGGGGAAAAGATTAACAGTATACATTTTGGGTAGTGTATCAGGATTCTTCCTTGAAGAAACCCAGCCTTCTCTCCATTCAAGGGGTTCTTGGTCTATAAAATTGGCTCAAGTCTGGGAATATATTGAGGGGCTGTGACCGATTTCATGATTTGAGTTAGACTTATTCACTTGACCTAGAACTTTTCTGCTTATAGAGATCAACTAAGAATTTCGTAAGCTTCCTACCTATTTCACTTCTAGGAACACCAAGATTAACTAGCCAAAGCCACACTAGACTGCACAAGTGAAACTATTCTGATTGCTGCTTTGTCTCTGCTGCCATTACAGTAACAATAGTCACCTTGCCTTTGATGGTCGGGTGCCACCACTTGACCCCTGTCAACCTGGGATCCAATTATTCTATTGCATTTAGGGTTCCCACTGAGTGACTACGGTTTCCACGGTAAGGCCCACAGAGAGGAGTGATCACAGAGATCTTCAGGGATGCTGGGGCTCCCCTCATCAATCTACTTCTCAAAGTATTGGTGAAAGGTATGTCTCTGGACCTCACAGTGTGGATGATTTGGTCTTCAAGGACAAATCTACCCTAACATTCCAATCTCCCTAAGCCTTTGAATCTCTTCCTCTACATTGAACCAGGGGGGACAGACATTTCCAATTCACTCATAGGGGGCCATCTTTTGATCCGTGTTTCAGCCAACCAACGAAACAAAATGTTGGAATCCTTTATAACTCCCTGAGCTGCAACATTACATGCAGAATCTCAGCTGAGTAGGCCCATATAAAAAAATTAGGCCTGATACAACTTTATGTACCTTCCACCATCATCCCATACCTTTAATATCCATTCCCACACATGGTCCCCAGATTTCTGCCTGTATAAATTAGAAAATTCAAGCAGTTCTCTTGGAGTATAGTATACCTTCTCATGGGTCACCTGTGCACCTCACCTGTAGGGCCATGCTGGGACTTGAATCTAGTTATGGATCTGGAAGCAAAGAGGAGTGATGAGGTGGGTCCAGGGCAGAATCAGCATTGGCTTGAATGGCAGCTGCTTCAGGAGAGGCTGTCACAAAGGTTTACCCCCAACATGGTGGGTGGAGAGGCCACCACTACTGGGAGTGGGATGCCACTTCTGCTGAAGGCTGGGGAGGCCACCGACTGGGGGCGGAAAGTCACTTCCACTGGAGGTAGGGAGACATCCTCCACTGGTAAAGAAGACTTATCAGAATTTAGGAGCTCAATGTTCCCCCTTTCATCGGGGTCTTCCCACAGGTCACCCCCCTAACTTAGGGGCTAGCATTCTTTCCCAGACAATGCGCTCACTCTCACAGTGCACACCATGTGCAGCTGGGGAGTTCAACTCAGGTCACGGACACATCCAAAATAATGGTTTACTAGCTATCTGGGCATCTATTAGCCCAGTCAAGTTGACACATAAAACTAACCATCGCAGTTCTCAACTGGGGATAAACCCCTAACAAGTTTTACGTGTGAGTCGTAAGACTAAAATAACTTTCCACAGACTAGCTTCTGGCACTGTACATTTCAAATCTTGTTCCTTTGCCACTTCCCACATGCTTCCTGCACAGAGAGCAGGACACATTCCCACTGCATCACCCCAGGTGAGTCAGCATCATGGGTGGCAGGAGTGTTCCTGGAAACCATCCTTCCCCAATAACTGTAATGACACCCGGAAGTGACCGAGAGGCACATTCATGAAATGTTATATACATATATTTCATCCCACATAAATACATCCCATTTGCCCACACTAAATGCATCCCCAACTCAAGTTTCTCTAAGCTGGATCCCAAAAATGCTCACAGTTATTCCAACACCACCTGACAAGGGGGGAAATTTGACAGAGGGGAAGTCAGGGTGAAAAGAAACAGCAGACTTAAATGATTGTGGTTGAAATAATATACTTTTTGCAAATTTTACAAAAATGTGAAAGCATTGCCAGGGCCCCTCCCGAGGCCTTGGAAGGAGCAAGGGGGGTGGGGGGGGCCCAGCAAAGCTCTGCACAGGGACACTGTCCTAGAGATGAAAGAGACCCCGAGAAGGGTAATTACTGAGGTGGGGGCCTCAGGGCGGCAGCTCCTGGCACAATTATGTTAACAAGGTAAATTAGCCCCAGACAAACCTGCACCTAATAAACTTGGGCCGCTTGTGCCTGGATCCCTCACTAGGAAGGAGGACTTCAAAGCCCAAGGCCAGGCTTCAGAGGCAGTTGTCTCCCTGTGGGCCCCTCTCTCAAGGCCCCAGGGCCTGGTCCCACGTGGGCATCCACACTGACTCATGCACAAACACCCCTTTGCGCACCCAAAGCCCTTCCGTACCCAGTGTCCTGTCTGACAGAACACACACCCCCCCCACCAGCGCTTCCAAACCCAGCGCCAGGCTCTCGGACAAGCCTGAAGAGTGGAGGGTCCCTCTCTGTGTGGTGGGGGGCAGGTGAGGAAATGGAGAAGTTGTTCTCTCCTATTCCCCATCCTTGGTGATGGGAGGCAGCCTGCCAGCTGCAGCCCTGGCTGCTCCTCACCCCCAACCCTGCCTCCTGCTTGCTCTCTCCATATCTCCCGAAGTGGGGACAAGCCCGGCACCAGACAGTGGAACAGGGTGTTCGGTTAACATCCACTGACCACAGTGTGGGGCAGTCAGGACACAGCCCAGACCACACCGACCTCGGGATACTGGCTGAAAAGCCGGGTCAATGACGCCCCACCCCAGCCTCCCTGCAGGACAGCAGGAAGACAGTATGAAAATGGGGGTGGAGGGAGGTGTCAGGATGCTAAGCGCCCAGTGGCTGCAGGGTTGACCAAAGGCTTGCCAAAGGCTTGCTTCTCTCAGGCCCTGGAGCCCAGCAGACCCAGAGTCTTCTCCGTTGCAAGACAGTGCAGACATCAGGTTTTGCCAAGGACCTTGATTGGCAGCAAAGGATGTTCAGAGAGTACCCAGGTGGGAGTCAAGGCCCTTAGAGTTTGCGGAGAGTGAGGGGAGTTAATGGCCGTGAGTGTCCTTGGCCGGGTGGGTGAGGGGTTCATCCTCCTGGATAACAAGAGCCGTGAGCGCAGACCCGCCAGAGCTGGCTGGGAGCAGGCCAGGTCTTTGAGGCTCTTCCGCTCAGGAAAACCCTGTTCTCTGCCCTGAGCCAGAGGGAGAAGGAAAACAGGAAACACATGTTCTTTGGGGGAGGCCGAGCACCCAGCCCTGAGAAGCCCCCAGGGGGGACCTGTTCCCTGCAGGAGGGTTTCCGGCCCCACCTGGGGACCTGCCCAGACCAGCCTTGAGAGAGACATGTGCTTATCAAGCTTATACAAAGGGCCCAGAGCTGGTAGGCTAGATGTCTGCGTTCTTACTCACAAGCCCCTGTGCAACCTTGGGCAGGGAGCTCAGCCTCTCTGGGCCTCTGCCCCTTCCCCTGTCAAATGCAGGTAAGAGTCCCTGCCTCCCTCTCTTCCCTGCCTGCCTGGGGCTTTGGAGCCATAAAGTATCACATGTGGAAACTCTGTTGGGAATCCCAGGGAAATCTTCAAGCCTCAGCCTTCTTGACTACCCCAGTGGGAAGGACTGGCTGGCCAATGAGTCCCTCTCTGGCATTCACCACTTACCTGTCTTTCAGGGGCCTGACACATGCTCTGCAGCAGACAGAAGTCCCTGACGCCTGGTCATCTAGTCCACAAAATCAAGAGCAACCTGAGGTCCCATGGGCCTCGCTGTTCTTCACGACTCCCCAGCTGCCAGCAGGTGTGTAAGAAGCGGTTGGGTGTATCTGGCCCGGGCCAGATACTAAGTCATGACCTGTCCTCGACCCACCCACTCCTCTCCCCCTGATCCAGGCCTGACCGGTGAGGACTTGGGATTTTGCCAAGGCTGCTGAGTCAGCTGTCCTTACAGAGCCATGAGACTGAATGTAAAATAAATGACAGATGTTACATGCAGGGCAAGGTGGTTAGAAGAGGTTGTGTCTTCTCCGCCCACTCTTTCCTGTCTACCTGCTGGGTTCAGAGGACTCCGGGCCGTAAGGGAGGGCAGCGTCATTAGGTGCAAAGATCCTGGATCTCTGAATCACCACGCGGAAGACCTGCTGGCCAGGAACACCCACAGTGGACTGTCACATGAGCAAGAATCAGCCTCTACTGTGTTCAACCACTAAAATTTGGAGATTTATTTGTTTCATCACAGTTGCCTGATAGGGGTAAGACTGAAAGGAGAAAATAAGACCAGCACGGCAGATCTGCCCACCTAGCCCTGACTTGGAATGTGATCTGCCTGTTCCCTCAGCCTTGCCACTGGTTCGGCCCCAGTGGGGGATGCTCTGAGCTCAAACTACTGATTGCAGAATTGTCCCTTTCTCACTCATCAGCATCAGTCCCAGCCCCGCCTATGCTGGGCCCTCCAGCTTGACATCCTGACCGGGCACCCTTCTGAATCCCAGAGTTTGTCATTATACCCTGGCTGGCATGAGGTCTTTCCATAATCACAGTTCCCACACTTACCTTTCCAGGTACCTTCAGTCCTGCCCGCTCCTTCCTCAGAGGCTGCTGAGCCCCGAGAAAGTGCAGGGGCCAGGTCAGACCACAGGTGCCCACAGCAGGCTCACGGTAGAGCAAATGACTCCACGTGAGGACTTTCTGTGCCTCGTCACATTTAATCCTCACAATGAGCCTGTGACATAGACACCTGAATCGCCATCTTGATCCTGCAGTTGGACATTATAATTCCCATTTTACAGATGAGAAGACCAAGGCATGGAGAAGGTATGTCACTTGTTCAAGAATACATGCTCATTAGTGGTTGAACCAGGCCTAGAATCCAGGTCATATAGACTCTGGAGCCTGAAGTCATTATGTCACACTGCCTTGCAAATATAGGTGTTCAATAAATAGGTGTTGGATTAAAAACCATGAGGCAGGCAGATTACCAATGGCCAAAGTCCCCTGCATAGATCTTGTTAGGTGGTCCTGGGACCTTCTAAGGACACTTGGAGAGGGGGCACTTGGAATAAGGTCACATGACCTCCCTGGGCCTGGTTTTCCTTACAAGCTTCTGTCAGTTGCTCAGGAGTGTGTGTGTGTGTGTGTGTGTGTGTGTGTGTGTGTGTAAAATCTACCTGGGCCTGGACATGCTAGACATGGAGATACAACAAGGAGAGGCTTTAAACCAGCTATCCAGTAGAAATAAGATGCAAGCCATATATATAATTTTAAATTTTCTAGTACCTAGATTTTTAAAATGGAAAAAGAAACTGTGAAATCAACTGTAGTAATTTATTTCATCTAACCTCTTATATACGAAATAACATGTAATCAATGTAAAAAGTTAATAACGAGATGTCTTACATTCTTGCACTAAGCCTTCACAGTCTGATATGAATTCTACATAAACAAACAACACAGCACTCATTTGACCAGCCTTAAAAAAACACATGTCGGTTCAGACCAGTAATGTTTCAAGTGCTCAAGAGACACCAGTGGCTGGCGGCCACCATGTTGCACAGCACAGCTCTGGGGAGCTCTGGCCTTGTGAGGTCAGGCTGACCCTGGCAATGAGGCTTTGGGACTCACGAGGCTGTGCGCCTCCCAGATCCTGGAGAGCCCGAATGCTCGGGCCTCACAAGCAGAGAAAGACGCAAGTCCGTAAGTAGCATGCAAGGTAATAGATGCCGCGTAAACACAAACCGCTATGTGCTAAGATCCAGGGAAAGCAGGGCATGGTTTTAATCTGCCGCAAAATCAGCATGTGTTTGTACTTTCCTATTTACGGTAGGTCCTATGAGGAGGCTTGTAAACAGCTCAAGAGCGCCAAGTAGCCCGGCACTCGGCGCAGCTGTTCTGTGTTCCCCGATTACCTCAGACCCCCGGGTTACAAGCGAGCTCAGATTAAACCCAGAATGTTTTCATGAGCAGAAAGCACTGTCTGTGAAAGGGAGGGAAAAGAAACCCCAGTGAAGAGCCAGGTAGGGAAATTGTTGCCAGCTGTGGTATGCGGGAGCCAGGGATGGGGGTGGCCCCGGAAGGAGGCCCTGAGTCCGGCCCTGTGTCCTCTGGGGTCTGTGACTCGGCCTGGAGGTACCACGGAACAGAGGAGTGTGGCCCGCACACAGGGAGTGACGAACTGGAGGCCGGGCCAGCCCCTGGTGTGCGGCCTGGGCAGTCACACTCGGCCCTCACTCAGACGGGCTTGCACTTGGGTCCGCGCCCTGCCACGGCCATCTTGCCATTCTCAGTACCTTTTGAACCACTGGCGCGCATTTTCACGTTGGGCCCCACGATTTAGGAGCCGTCCTGAGTGGAGGCGACAGCAAGCCCTGTCTGCCCGAGGGCCCTCGCTGGGGAAGGGCTGAGCGTTGCAAGGTTGGCCTTCCCAGGGACCAGCGCAGCCCTCGGCCCCTTCAATGGCTTGACTCGAGAAGACACCGTCCGGAGGAAAGGCCAGAGCCGGCCTGACACGAACTCAGGAGCCGGGCCCTGGAGAGCAGCACCAGGATGTTGTGTGTTTTCCAAAGTTTCAATCACAATGGTCTCTTTTCATTTAAAGAAAAATACCACAACCATTTCCTAGCAAAGGTTAAGTCTTTACACTTAAAAAAAAAATTTTTTTTTTATCCTGCCAAGGAATGTGCTTTTAAAAGCTGGCTTCCAGCCCTTCCTGAGGCCGAGGTTCCCCCGCTTTGCTCCCAGGGGGAGCCCAGGGGTCCCGTGAGGGTGGAGTGGCCCGGCAGCCACTGTCCTCAACGCTGGGCAGGGAGGAGTATGGGGCTGGCGCCTGGTGGACACCCCCTGATTTTCCCAGAACCAGCCAATCAGGACAGAAGCTCCCGATGGCAGAACTCCACAGGAAACCCCCCAAAGCCCATTTGAGGTGGGGACCCCCCTCCTGCCCAGCCACACATCCCTCTAGTGCCTCGCCCAAAGGCCACAGGCCTGGCCGCTAGCTCCCACCTGCCAGTCCCTGTCTACCTTTCAGGAAGTAGAGAATCCACTTAATCCCTGGCCTAGACTGGGAATGTGAGTCTGCACGTGGACACCCTGTGCTCACGGGGGAGTCTGAGCCACCGAAAGAAGGCGCCTGGGCCAGCCCCCCACGCCTCCTCTCCACCTGCTCTGCCAGTGCAGGGCTGGTCCCCATTCTGGCACTACATCCCCTGCCTCCACCCCTCATGAACACCACTGCAGCAGGTCTTGCCTCTCCCTCCTGCATCCAGTCTCCCCTCTTCACTGGATCATTCTCACTAGCATACAATGTCTGAATTCCTTTCGTCCTAAAAAATAATAATAATAAACTGAAAAAATAAAAAAGCTCTTGACCTCTCCCCTGTCGTTTCCCCCATAGCACACTGTCTGGAAAGAGTTGTCTATGCTTACTATTTCCACTTCCCTTTCCCCTGTTCTCTTTTTAATTTTTTAAATGTAAGCCTAATGACTTGCACCAATTGGCTGCCCCATGTGACCAGCACTCGGATGGAGCTGTACCAGGAGACTTCTGAGGGCCCTTGGCCACCACCACCCCCCTCCTTCCCAAAACGTAACCACCATCCTAACTGCACGTTAGTTTTTCCCGTTTTTGAACATTATACAAACAGAATCATGTAGCATGTCCTCTTCTGCATCTAGTTTCTCCTCTTGGTACTGTCTGTGGGTTTTATCCATGTTGTCTGGTGTGGCTGTATCTATCAATTCTCATTGCCGAATTGCATTCCATGGTAGGAGGGAAATTGTTGAGTGTTTGTTCATCCATCCTATGGAAAATGGACATTGAGTTGTGTCTGGTTTGGCTTACGTTATAATGCTCCTAAGACCATTCTCATACATGACCTTTAGTGTCAAATGATTGCATTCTATGGGGAATATACCTGGGAGTAGGATTTCTCGGTCACAGGGTATGCATGTGTCCAAATAATTTTCAACTCACTCCCACCAGCAATGTGTAAGTGTTCTAGTCATCCTTGCCAATACTTGACATTCATTACCAATCACACACATCAGCTTTTCCCTGAGTCTCCAGTCTACCAGCTTACCCTGCACATTTTGGACTTGCCATCCTCCATGATCACATGAGCCAACTACATGCATAAATATTCATACATATGTACATGCCAACCATCCCTCCTATCAACTCTATTTCTCTGGAGAACTCTGATATAATTCTCTTTATCAGAATAAGAAAATTCTTTTCTATTCCCAGCTTAGTATGAGTCTTTTTAATTAATGTATGCTAAGTTTTATCAAATAATGTTCCTACACCAATTAGGGTGATCTTTTTCCCTTTATTCCATAAATATGATGAATTAAATTAATTGGTTTTCAAATGCTAAACCAAGCTTGAATTTCTATAACAAACTCAATTTGGTCATGATTTAGTATCTTTTTTTTGTATAGCTCTGGATTTGGTTTACTAATTTTTTAAGTGAATTTTGCATCTATATTCATGAGAGAAAATGGCATGTAATTTTTCTTCCTTATAATGTCCTTGTCAGGTATCAAGGCTTTGCTGACCCAATAAATCATGTTGAGAAATGCTTCCACTTTTCCTGTTCTCTGGAGGAGACTGTATAATATCGCTGTTATTTCATCCTCTAATGTTTGGTGAAATTCACTGTTGGAGGCGTCTGGGCCTAGAGTTTTCTTAGTAGGAGGAATATTAAGAAAAGATTCCAGGCTGGTCCGAGTGCAGTGCTGTTTACAACTAATTGATCACAACCCATTATGGATTCCTTTGTTCGTTCTGCACTCCCACTCAAGGAAGGAAGGAAGGAAGGAAGGAAGGAAGGAAAGAAGAAGGAAAGGAAGTAAGGAAGTAAGGAAGGAAGGAAGGAAGGAAGAAGGAAGGAAGGAAGGAAGGAAAGGAGGAGGAGGAGGGAGGAGGGAAGGAGGGAAGGAGGAGAAGGAGGGAGGAGGAGGGAGGAGGAAGGGAAAGGGGAAGGAAGGGAAGGAAGGAAGGAAGAAGAGAAGAAGGAAGGAAGGAAGGAAGGAAGGAGAAGAGGAGGGAAGAGAAGGAAGGAAGGAAGGAAGAGAAGGAAGGAAGGAAGGAAGGAAGGAAGGAAGAAGAAGGAAGAAGGAAGGAAGGAAGGAAGGAAGGAAGAAGGAGAGGGAGGGAGGAGAAGGAGGGAAGGAAGGAAGGAAGGAAGGAAGAAGGAAGGGAAGGAAGGAAGGAGAGGAAGGAAGGAAGGAAGGAAGGAAGGAAGAGGAAAAAAATTGATTTCTTTAAAAGTTATGAGTTACAGTCAGCCCTCCGCATCCATGGGTTCCAACATCCACAGAGTCAACCTATTGTGGGTGGGAAATATTCAGAAAATAAACACAAGAAAAAATAATACAAATTTAAAAATACAATATAACAACTATTTATATTGCATTTACATTGTATTAGGTATTATAGGTAATCTAGAGATG